ATCAACATTTACTTCCTATGATATTTCGGGCACCATTATGAACACTTCACCAAAGAAACGACACTTTGCGGGATATTTGGTACATACATTTTACGCATATGATGTCTCAGAAATATTTTCCTATGTCGATAGTGGAAATGGGAAACCATTTTCTGAATATTTAAGCAGATGAAGAAATTTTGTTAAATTGTCTTGAGATGGCACCGTATAAAAGGTAATATCGAATAATGCACATCAGGTATGTTACCATTATGATTACTGTAAAAAAAAAAACAACGAAGCGCATCTTATATGTTTAAAAAAATAGAGGGTGTATGATAATCAAATGAGGTCAACATATCCTGAGATAACTGATTACCAACTAAGTGTTGCAAAACAACAAGATTTTACGTCTTGTGTTCTGAATTTTATACGTTTGCAACTTAATTTTTAGATCCTTCATTTGTGAAGACTACTCTTACATCAAAATAATAATACTTACATTATATTTTATCTATTTCAGGTACAAGCTGATGTAATAAATACTTCATACCTGTTATGGTTACACGAGCTTGCGATGGGCTCAATTAGGCAGTGCACATGTTGGCACAAGTACTTCTCCCGACGGTATAATACATAAGTCTACGGCTAATTATAGGGTATTTGTTGTGGGAGTTCGACATCAAAAGAAGCATACTATGATAAACTCCAACAATTGTTCATCTTACATATCACAGATCTGTTGTGTTGCATATCATGGAATTGTTACATTATTCGGATGTGACTGGTTTAACACGACGAGTGGAACGGGTACTCGAAGGCGTAAATATATTGTTGTAGAGGTGTTTATGACTGGTACATACGCTCAAAATGATCCATTCATACAAACATCGCGGGCGGATCAAGTGTGTTTTTTTGGCTATCCACAAGTGAATGTTCGAGAGGATGAGTGGTTAGTTGTAGTCAAGGTTAGCCCACAAGGGATCATTGACGAAAGCAGCAAACACGTAGATGCGGTGCAAGAGAAAGACACTTACTACCTCCACAATTCTGTAGTTGGTTTACTAAAGGTACCTTCTCTCGTCGTACCTGGTGGTCAACTTGAAGACATCCGTGAGGATCCAATATCTGACAATGAAGATGATGATGAGTATGATACATATGTAGAAATGTCATAATCCTAGAGTTCTATTGATTTTGATTCTGAATAATATGTATATTTTGATTAGGGATGGGCACTCTAGTTTATTTTCTGGTTCGGTTTGGGTTCAATTCGGTTTGTTCGATTTTAATAAATTATTAGCCGAATTCAAACCGAAGTAAATATGATTTTGGTTTGGTTTTAAATCTAATATGTGCGTGCTTTAAAAGTGAACTTAATAGAATTTTTATTTTATTCGAATACGCATAACCATAAAAAATATTAAAATTGTACGCAAAATCATCAAACCCAATTTCCAGTAGATGTGAATAATATACGTAATATAACTTTACATCTATATACTGGCATTTAAAACATTTACATTATACTAAGTTAAGAACTGCAAAAAAAAAGTGTTTAAATATTATCTAATAATCGAACCCAGTAAACAACGTTGAATAGAAATGCAGAACTAATAATGGTAACGCATGTTTTCGTTAATTGGTTCAGCTAAGTGTTTTTTTTTTGTCAAAATGCAGCTAAGTGTTTATAAAAGGCAATTTATTAGAAAAAAATATAAGTTATAAGTTGACTAGGCTCTAATGAGGTGAAAGACCCACTAAATAACATAGGCTTAATAAGCCCACACATCGGCTGATCATGATCGACCACATGTGATTCATCCGTTTACTTTCCTGTCATTCACCCACTTGTAAAATATCTATTAAATTAATTAATTTTAACAAAAGTCACAGAGTAAGAAATCTTGAATTGAACTTCGCTCCACATATTTTATTCACTTGTTTTTGCCGCTTCTTCTCCCTTAAGGTTTTTCTCTTCCCATATCTAGGGTATTCTTCCATCTTTTTCTTAACATAATCAAAGATCCAAACTCTCGATCTCTGTAACTCACCAGTCTTCATCCGCAATATTTCTCTACGAAGCAAAGGTAAAGTCTTTGCTTGATATAGTGTCTTTTTCGTAGACAGGTCCGACCCAATTGACTTTGATGCCTAACGCTAAAAAAAAATGATGCCCTATTTTGTCAAGGCTTATTTTCGAAAAGAGACTCAACCAATACACTAACTCAATAACATTGTAAATGATGCCCTTTTATTTGGTAATAAATGTTGATGCCTAACGCTGTCGCTTTATGAGAGCGTTAAGTCAGGACCGGCCCTATTTGTAGGTGTTTACAGAAACTTAGTAGGGTTTAGATACACACAAATTTCTGGATTTTAGAAACGTTTATTCACTTTATCTATCATCAGATCTAAAAAATATCGCCTAGGGTTTCTGGACATAAGCCTCTCATTTTTGTTTATATGTTTGTTCTTTGCTTTCTATGTACTAATTTGTCACTCTTTTCGTAGATGTTACCCTGGTGGTGAACGCGGTTTGCAAGGGAATTCGGAAGGCTATAGTGGTGGTTGCGCCGGTAGCCAAGCTGGTGGAAGAGGAGTAAGAAGAGGTGGTGGGCGAGTTGGTGGCAGAGGTGGTGGGCGAGTTGGTGGTTGAGGTGGAGGTGGAGTAAAAGGAGTTGGTCGTGGTGATGCAAATGAAATCCACCGTAGGGGTAGTGGGGGAGGAGGTCGGAAAAATCTAGTGTTTAATGGCACATGTTTTGGCCAAGT